TAGTATAATGGGCCCCAGAACCCTATCCTAATTATTCAGGCCTCTATATATGGCCCCTAGATTATTCGCGAGGCGCCTCCTCCAAAGCGTCAGGAGATCAGCAGCCCTGTGCCACGCAGGGATCGCATGGCATCGATCTCGGCCTGACAGAAACACCGGAAAGGCCTAAAAGAGCAGTTAGGGTTTAGGGTTTAGGGCTTCCGGTTTCGGGTTTGGGGTTTAGGGTATGGGCGCCTTAATACTTAAAACAGGGTTCGTTTAAACGGATTCTAGAAGGGTTGCTACAAGGGTCTACTATAGAGGCTTTAACGATAGAAAAGGGTCTCCGGGCATATTTTACGGTACGAAATTGTTTGTAGGAACCTTAAGGAATAATGTTGGGAATTATACAGGCGTCTCTAGCAGTGCAGAGGCCCTAAACAAGCCTTATAAGGCTTACATCCTGAAACCCAAAGATACTTGCCATCTTAAACCCGTAAACTAAGCCCAACGGACATGTCCACAGGTCTGAAACCTCAACCTTAAACCCCACACTAGATGCGGAAGCGCAAGAAGATAAATCTTAGGCCTGAGGGCCACAACCTGATTCCCTAAATCGGCTTGGCGTTGAGCTTCGGCCCCACACTACGGGGCGAGGAGTCTTGTGGGATTCTTACTAAGGGTCAGGGTTTGGGGTTTAGGGTGGTGCAGGATGCTTAACTATTGCGTGCTGTTTTTTTATCGGGAAAGAGCTTAGTTGAGTCACAATAATACAGCAGATAGACAGAAAGCATGCGATTCACTCTCTCTCTCTCTCTCTCTATATATATATATATATCCACATCATGGCGACTCAACGTAAGTCCCCAAAAAGCCCTACATGATGATATCTCAGCATTCCTTCCGAACACCCTGACCTCCACCCCCCCCCCTCGAAGGCCCACAGCCCACATAAGCACAAGGGCCTACACCCGCAAACTCTTCACATCCCACATGCTGAAAGTCTAAACCGCAGAACCCACGCCTGGTTACTTGATCAGTCGGACAAATACTCTGGGGGTCTTCTCACAGCAACTTCATTCAGTTCTCGTAACAAGGATGTACAGTATGTAGGGAGCATGCTTGAATTATCTTGAAATGTTGTGGTAACTTGAACTTAGCACTGTAAAAGCCAAATGCCCGGATGATCAAAGCCCTTCTAAAACCCTTGTTAAGACACCCTCATCGAATCCTCTAATAAGCCCTCTAGAACCCTACACCCAACGGAACTCCTCCCAAGCACAGCTCCCTTGACGAGCTCCGGCTTTTGCAGCCTGAAGGGACGAGCTGATGAGCTTCTCGCGCGCCAGGGCACCTGGAGGCAATATAATGTAGGTGCCTTAATAATTAGAATCGGGTTTGGGGGCATTCTACTCTATATTGACCATCGAATCAATCGAACCCCACGGATCCCTTTTTCAAGAAACCCGGCGAGGTTCGCCATGGACAACTTCTGAAACAGTGGTCGCAAAATCAGATCCTCTAAAGGCCAATAAGGGATAATATAAAGGTCTCACCAAGGCCTACCTGGACTTTGTATGTAAGGTTAGATGATTACTTTGCCAAAAATATAAGCGATTGTAGCTATAATCACCTCATTTTATAACCTTAGTTACCAAGTCTCATGACCCTGTAAGTAGCCTAAACCCCCTAGTATAGAATCCATCTAGAACCCTCAAAGGCCCTAAACCCTAAATCCCTAGATCCCTGCACCTAAACCCCTAGATCCCTTAAAGAAACCTACGCCCCAAATCCCTAAGCCCTAGATCACCAAACCCCTAAGCCCAAAATCCCTTAAGGCATCTGAGCCCTCCAGGCTTCTGTGCTACTGTAGAAGCCTCAAGAATTAGAACAGGGTTTTGGGCTAGTTTATACTATAGCTATAATAAGGAACCACCCAAAATAGTACAGGTAATCATTTAGGCCCCTCACAATATTATTGCGATAAACATAACATGTAAACCCCTCAACCCTAAACCCTAAACCCTATAACATGTAAACCCTAAACCCTATAACATGTAAACCCTCAACCCTAAATTCTAAGAAACTTAGGCCCTCCCCCCATATTACTCTTTTTGTTGCTTGACGCAGTCAGCTCGACGAGCCCTGGAGATTCAAGCGCCGGAGTAGTGGGACCACCTGGCATCGGGCTTGGGGGTTTGAAAGTTGAGGGGGTTTGTAGGGTTTTAGGGCTTTAGGATTCAGGGTTTAAGGGTGCAGGGTTTTTTTAGGTCTTTAGGATTCAAGACTTAAGGTTGAGGGGTTTAGGGCTTTAGGATTCGGGGCTTAAGGTTTAGGGCTTTAGGGCTTTAGGATTTAAAGTTTTCTTGGTTAGGTTTTTTGAGACAAGGCGGATCGCATGGGATTTTTAAGTTATGCGTAGGTTTAAGGCTGCAGCAAGGCGCTACTCTATGGGTTCCATAAGATTTAGTGCAGACCACCTGGACCAAGAGATTGCGAGGCCTCCTTCTTCAGGGACATACCTTACTTGGAGGATCATGGGACTCAGTAAGTAAGGTTATAAGTACCCTAATTGGGGTTATAAGTAATCATAAGTCTGGTTACCTTATTCATAACCCTAGTTACTAAGTCCCACGAAACTCTAAGTAACTCGTATTACGGGACACTCCATAGTTTTCAGATGCTTTAAGGGAATAGTGTAGGCGCAGAAATAATTAGATTAGGGTTTGGGGTAGATTATACTCTAATAATGATAATAAGGAGCCCTAAGGAAGACGATTAATCATTACCTCAGCTTCTATGATAGTGGGACCACCTGGGTCGATTGGAGAAAGTTCGATTTTGTGGATTGTGGGGGATGGAATAACCCTAAATCCTGACGGGGTATTGGGCTCCCGTTGAAGACCTATTCAGGCCCCTGTACTTGAACCAAGAACTTTTTATACATTTCTATTAGCCTTGATAACATTAGCTACATGATACAAGATCCCCATAAGCACACCATAAACCTCTAACAGAGCCTACAACCAACCCTACACCCCCAACTAGCGCCAGACCCTCAAGAAAACTTGATATAGGAGCTCTTGTCAGGAACTCACCAACCCATACAAGCTATAGTATCGTGTACCCTAAAGCCTATTCCTAGACTCTCTAGACTTACATAAAGAACCCTAGAAGAACCCCCGCCCCCCATAGAAAACCCATACAGAACCCTATACGAATCACCCATAGAAAACCCATGAAGATACAACACCCCCCAAAGAAAACACATAAAGAACCCTATACGAACCCCCATAGACACCCATAAAGATACACCCCCCCCATAGGAAACCCATAAAGAACCCTATATGAAACTCCCGTAGAAAACCAATAAAGATACAAACCCGCCATAGAAAACCCATAAAGAGCCCTATAAGAACCCTAAACCGAAAAACCCATAGACAACCCTCTAAAGAACCCTATAGCAACCCTAAGCCCCCCATAGAAAACCCCTAAAGAACCCCTATAAGAACCGTAAGCCCCCACAGAAAACCTCTAAAGAACCCTATCAGACCCCTAAACTTCCCCAAAACCCTAAACCCCTAAAAGAACTCTATAAGAACCCTGTAAGACCCCTAAACTTTCTCAATCCCTAAAGAACTCCCCCCCCCACCCCCAAAAGACTATACTGAACTTAGACCCCTAGCAAAAATTATAATTTTAGCTGGTTCTTAGGGTTTATAGTAGCCAACCCCTAAGAAGAAAGGAAGGCGCCTTGGGAACTCGGCCCTGGAAGTCCTGGAAGGCGGAGATCGGCGCCCTTCCGGCGCCGGGCTCCAGGAAGGCTTCCTGGTGTCGAATGTAGGGTTTAGGGTTTAGGGTTTCGGGTTTAGGGTTTAGGGTGAGGGTGTAGGGTGAGGGTGTAGGGTTTAGGGTGTAGGTTCAGGGTGTCGTGTTTAGGGTTTAGGGTTTATGGTGCTTCTTGAGCAGTTCTCTAAATTCGGGTTCCTTTTTAAGGTTCCTCACAGGGTCCAATCGGGGTCTCTATAAGGTTCCTATAAGGGTACTATAAGGGCTACTATATGGGTAGTTCTCTAAATTAGGTCCCTTCTAAAGTCCCTCAAATACTACGGCACCCTTACAAAAGGGACCCTAAAACGGGACCCTAATTTAGAGACCTACCCATTTACGGTTCTACGAAGGTCTTGGAAAGTGGAAAGACAGGGTTTGAGGAGGCTTGCAAGTCCTTGGCCACGCACCTAGGACGATCCACAAAGTAGAGGTTCCGTAAGGGGGGTTCCTGTAAAGTTACCTTTAGTGTAGCCCAAGGGGTCACAAGTTAGGCGATCTACTGTTTAGATCCTCCCGAAAGTCTGGGTAGGGTAATACGAGGGCTTCCTTAGAAGATCATGGGACATAGTAGCTAGGGTGTAGGGGTCCCTGTAAGGGATCTATAGGGGTACTTTAAAGGTTTCGGGTTTAGGGCCTTTAGGGTGCTTTGCGGATCATAGGACTTAGCAACTAGGGTTCATTAATTATGACTCGTACTAGAGTACTTGTAACCTTACTCACAAAGTCACACGGGTCTAGAGAGCTTGATCACGGGTTTCTCGGGCTGCATAAGGGGATTCTGGGCTTTTTGTTTCAGGGCTCTACATGGGACCACAATTTTGAGTCGCGTCTGAAGAATTAGTCGTAGTATCTCCTCCTGGTCCTATACAATAATCTAATGTAGGGGCCTTAACAATTAGAATAGGGTTTTGGGGTATACTATACTTTGATTATAAAGCCTTTTTGGATCAACCAACACCCAGTTCAAGCTATCATCGGGCCACTCTCTTCGAACCCTGAAACCCTTTGCTGTATCGTAACCCTAAATAGTAACACCACGAAACCATATAAGAACCCTCTAAAACCCTCAAGAACCCTACAAGAACCTTACCGAACCCTCTGAGAACCCCATAAGAACTCGATAAGAAACCTCTAACATCCCCTTCCCTCGCCTAAACCCTAAACCCTAAACCCTAAACGGCGTAAGAGAATTCGGACATGCCACTCGGAAGCGCCGCCCCAGCTCGGGCAGCTCCTGCGGCGCGGCCTGCGCCCAGCTCCCCAGGAAGGGCACTCTCCACCCAGAGACTCCAATGTTCCTTAATTAAGGAATATACCTTAAATTATAGTAGGATCCTTAATGTTCCTTAATTAAGGGATATTGGAGTTCCTGGGCACATCCACGGGCAGTTGGGGTTTAGCGTTTTGTTCCAGAAGCCATTCGCAAAGTGTAGTGTTTGGGATCTAAAACCCTACTACGCACCGTAGCAGCCTGAATGTTTTGACTGGGGCTTCGGGGCGTTGTTCGAAGCTCTACTTGTAAGGAAACCTAAGGAACAGTCTTGCTCCTTGATGTGGAGGGCTCATGGGCTGCGAAGATGTCTTGAGGAGGCTTGATGACAAGGATCCCGTTCAAGCAGAGTCTACATGAGGGAATCATGGGTCAGGTTCATAGAAACAAAATGCTCGTGATATACCCAGAAGAAGCGGGATCATACATGCCCGAACGAGGCTAACCCTCCTTGACGAACCCTTTCGGCAATTCCGGACATTGTTTCTACCTTGCAGGAGATGGCACCTTGCTGAAAGTCTCAAAGACGTCCGCAGCCAGGACCTGCGAAGTATCTCTTCACATGTAGATACCATTTCACCAGCTGCAGCTGAGGGTGCCTGCCTAACAGGGTCCTCAAGCAGCGGGGCAGGGTGCACGGCATCTTCAGGATCTCAAACTGCCACGAATTTACGCGAAGTCGAGCGGCCTCTGACCAGAGAGCAGCATACTCGCCTGCAGCAAGCGGTTTAGGGTTTAGGGATGGGGGCCTGGATACTGGCTTCAAGCATGTCCCGACTAATCGTTGTGGGTAGCCCAGGGTAGACAGAAAGTCTTCCCCTCAAGACACAGCGTCATACGGAGCCTTATATACACAATTTCGACATCCTGAACATGCACCCTACCTCATATGTCCCCTGCCGGAATCATCTTCGGAATGGCCGAGATTCAGCAGCAGCTACAAGCATTGAGCCATCAGGTTGTCGCGTGTTTTGTGTCTTTGCACTTTCTACTGGTCACAGCTTATCCGCCTCCACCCGGCCATGTATAAATGTGCAAGATCTCCTTGTCCTCATTCCCACGTCGGAAACTTCCTAAACCCTTGCCACCCCCACTGAGAAGGCCTGCGCCGAAGCCGGTGCAGAAAGGTCCAGCGAAGGAAGCCAAGCCTCAGCAAAGAAGAGAAGCCGGCTTAGGCCTTTAGGCTTTTAAGGCCTAGGCTTTTGCAGGGCTTAGGGTTCAGGGCTTGGGGGCTTCAAGCTTGAAGGCTTCAGGGCTTATGTTTTTGGTTGCGGGGTTTAGGGCTTCAGGGTTTGCGGCTTCGGGCGTCCTTCCTTCTGAGTCTGCCGCTGCTTCACGCCAGTTTCGGAACATCGCTTTTCAGGGCATGCGGGTTGCCACTGTCAGAAGCTACGGTCTAAACCCTAAACCCTAAACGCTACTGTTGATGATATAAATCCTGCAGTACCTTAAGGACCTTAAACTATGGGAATTTCTATACATTCCGTATTACGGGTACTGCAGGATCTATATCATCAGTCGCAGCACACCAGCTCCGGGGGTTTTTACAGACATGTTTGCAGACTTCTCCGTTTCCAATCGGGTGCAGCATACTCAACAAAGCCCTCAACTCTAAGTCTCCAAAAATAATCTCGAAACTCACAAACGTAGGAGCCTAAATTGGGGCTTCCTTCATATAATTATAGTATACTGGACCCCAAAACCCTATTCTAATTATTAAGGCCCCTTTGCTAAAGCCTTCTGGTTGAAATTGTTCCTTTCTGAGTCGCCCCGCACTGCTCAACTCCTCAGCCGCAAACCCCGCTCTAAAGCCCTTAAACTCAAAGCACCCTAGGCCCTAAACCCTAAATTTCCTAAATCCTAAACCCCAAAGCCCTGAACTCTCAACCTCTGCTGCCCTAAACCCAAAAGAAGCCCTACGCCCCCCAATGCCCCATTCCCTAAACCCTAAACCCTAAACAGCTCCAAGGGTGCAGTAGAAATACATGTATATCTATATATATATATACACACCTGTGCTTACATATGTACGTCTATATGTAAGCTACCATACTCTACCCCCTTTAAAAAATCTAGTCTGTTCTTTTAGTAGAGCACACGACGGCCGCATTCTCCGGGCTCTGGGCCCTTGTCTGCGACCTCATGGCCGAGATCCTCGAGCTCTTTGGATGTGGTGAGGCTGCACTTGGAGGTTCATGGGTAGTAATACTATAAAGGGCCCCTGAACCCTATTCTCATCATTAAGGCCCCTATTACTGGAGGTTCATGGGTAGTTGTATCTGGGGTTATAGGTAGGGTTTAGGGTTTTGGGGTCATGGGTAGTTTTTTCTGGGGTTATAAGTAGGGTAGCTATACTTATACCCCCTATTAGGGGACTTAGAACGCCACGTATAACTACCCCTAAACCCTAAACCCTAAACCCTATAGAACCCTTGTAAGGAACCTCATAACACTATATTAGGGGACGTATAACCCCACTTATAACTAACTATGCATGAACCTCCAAGCAGGGGCCTTCATGGCGAGAACCGGGCTCCTATAAGGGGCGAGTTCCAGTCCCCTTTGAGAAGGCAAAAAAGGCTTGTGTAAGAAGGTTTAGGGTTTAGGGTTTAGGGTCTAAGGTTTAGGGTTTTGGGGTTTTAGGGTTTAGGGTTTTAGGGTTTAGGGTTTTAGGGTTTTGGGTTTTAGGGTTTAGGGTTTTAGGGTTTAAGGTTGGGGTTTAGGGGGTTCCCTTCTAAAGGCTGGAGGGTTCTAGAGTCGGGTCCCCTTTAAGGGCTTCTAGAAGAGTTCTATAAAGGTTCAGGTTACAGGCGGGACTCCCTATTCACTTTCCCGTTTGTGGCCACAGAGAGCCAAGGAATGATAACTCTTCGGGCCCCTACTCCGGGTCCCGTCATCACTGTTAGGGTTTAGGGTTCAGGGGTTAGGGTTTAGGGTTCAGGGGTTCGGGTTTAGGGTTTAGGGGTTAGGGTTTAAGGTTTAGGGTTTAGGGTTTGATTGCAACAACAGAACTCCGGGTCCCGTCATCTAAGTGGGGTTGTAAGACCCCTAGTATGGGTTATAAGTATAGTTACCCTACTTATAACCCCAGATGTGAGCATAAAGATGGCAACAACGGCCTCTAAACCCCGAGCCCGGCGTTAACGCCGGACCTAAACGCAACAAGCCGGACCTCTCTAGCCCAAACTCCGTCGAAGGCGCCCGCCTGGCTTGTGAGACGACGTCGCGCAAGGTCCACGATGGAATCTGGAGACGGGTCCTGTCGGATAAGCGGCTGAAGATGGAAATGGAGAACTCTTTCTCTAGAAGTTTCTTCAGATTCGGGATTCTAATGTTTTTTTGTGGAGATGCTTGCTGACACGTCAATAGAGGTTCACAGAAGGAATTGAAGTTTGAGGGCTTTGGCCCCGAAACCCTTTAAACTCCAAAAGCCTCGCATGACCCCAAACCCTACAAATAGCATGGAAAGACGCCAAAGAAGCATTCGGCCTAAACCCAGGTCTCTCCTACTTATTTTATGACTCCCCTTTCCACCGACACAGTTTTTCCCTGGGAAGAGGCGGCACGGCTGCTGTCTCACTTGGGCAGCCCGGCGGAGTCCCGCATCTTCTTCATTGCGAGCGCCATCCACTCCAACTCGCCCACCATGGCCGGTAGCTGTTTCAGCATGCGCGCCTCGGGATCCTTGGGTGCGCCCTCCTCATCGAAGAGGTCGCTCCTAGGTTGGCCCCTCAAAGCCTCCGAAAAATATTCGTAAAAAAGATCCTCTTAAGCCCAATAAGGGAAAATACAATATATATATATATATACACATATATATATATATATACATATATATATATATATAATGTCCCAAAGGCCTACCTAGGTTCGGTGCAGGGAAGGCCGCCAGCTTACTCACGGGGATGCAGCCGAGCTCGGCAAGGAAAGGCCGTGCCGCCATGGCTGCGCGCATGCCGGCCTGGGGCTTTGAAGTAACCAGGGAGAAAAAAGGCATAGACTTTCATGTCAGAATACCTCCTTTAAGGAACAGGTCCCCAAAAAAGGCATAGACTTTCACATCATAATACCTCCTTGAAGGAACAGGTCCAAAAAAAAAGTGTGTTAAAGTATGGTATTCCAAAGCCCAGCTGCCCAGGGACCGGGGCTGTAGGTGACGATGCAGGAAGGCTTGCCTGGGCTGCTCTGGCAGCCAAAAAATTCCCAATGTGTTTCTTTTCCTTCCTAAAGACCATGCAATACAAAATAATGCGATGCAAGGCTCTAGTATACTATATCATGCTAAACGTCATTTTCAAGAGCGGCATAGTTGCACTTGTAGTTCGATCCACCGAAATGTCCCATCAAGCTGGTCAGCGCAGGCGGCAAAGAGTGGTTATACTCTGCTGTGACCACCACGTAACCATCGGCCGCCTTGATGGTGGCTTGCCTGAGCTTCCCAGTAGCTCTCCTTTACCTCCTTTAGGGTTTAGGGTTTAGGGGTTTAGGGTTTAGGGGTTTAGGGTTCCTGTAGCCCTGTAGTCTAGGGTTTCGTGAGTACTAAGGCCCTCTTCAGCAGCCGAGATGCATCTCATCCATCTTGGGGTTTGTGCCAGCCTGACAGAAGTAGTGTCTAAACCCTAGAGCCAAATCCCTCCAAGCCCTAAGACCTAAGTCCAAAATGCTCCAAACCCCTTTAGGTTGCTGCTTGGAGGTTCGTGGGTAGTTGTAAGTGGGGTTAAAAGTCCCCTAATACGGGCTATAAGTATAGCTACCCTACTTATAACCCCAGTTATAACTACCCATGAACCTGCATTAATAGGGGCCTTAATGATTAGAATAGGGTTCAGGGACCCTTTATAGTATGACCCTAAACCCTAAACCCTAAACCCTACTTATAACCCCAGTTATAACTACCCATGAACCTCCATTAATAGGGCCTTAATAAATAGAATAGGGTTCAGGGCCCTTTATAGTATTACTACCCATGAACCTCCAAGTGGCCTTAAGGAAGAAGTGTGGCGTAGTGAGGTGGCCATCGCCTTCAAGCGCCCCGCCCGGGCCGAAGACCTCGACGGGGTCGAAAACGGAAACGTCATGGCTGACTTGGTCCTGTCCGCAGTAGGAAGGGTTATCATAGTAGTCCTGCTACTAGTAGTAGTAGTAGTAGTAGTAGTAGTAGTAGCAGCAGGAGGAGTAGGAGTAGGAGAAGAGGAAGGAGAAAGAGTAGCAGTAGGAGGTAATACTGCTACTCATGGAGGCCTGGTGGGACTCTTCAGGAGCCAATTTAGATTACCATGAAAGCACTTGTGGCTTACACCTGCCGCTTCTGCTCATGATAACAATAATAGTCTTGACAGTACTGGTCATAAGAATCATAAAAGTCAGGCTCGTAATTGTACTGTATCATGGAAATTATCGCGACCTTGGTAAGAAAAGCGGTCCTGTCCGTAGGCCTCGTCCCTGGCCTTCAGAACGCTGAGCACGTGCTTCAAAACGCGGTCGCCCAACCGCGCGTCGCCACCCCAGGGAGGAACCACGTTGCGGGCGGAGCCCATGAAAACCACCGTCTTCAAAGCGACCTTAGAGTATTCGTCATATCTAATGCATATGCGAGAAGTTTTGTGTTTTAGTGTTTATATACACACCCATATAATATAGTAGGCTTTGTATAGGTAAGTCTTATAAAAAGCGACCCATACGTAGAACCCATGTGTGTCTTCAGAGCGACCTTTTGCATCGCTTCGGCTTCGGCAGACCTCGGTTGGATCTCGTCGGCCGCGACCGCGATCTTGGGGCTCCAGCAACACCTATACTGAACTTAGACCCCTAGCAAAAATTATAATTTGAGCTGGTTCTTAGGGTTTATAGTAGCCAAAAATTAAAAAGTATGTCTAAGTATCCCTAAGACACGCCGTGGCTGCAGAGAAGTCTGGCAAAAGGAGCGTTGCCTTCGGCCTCCTACCCTGCGAACCTCCGGCTGCAGACAGGAATCTGCTTCACTTCGGGCTGCCCCTCGTCGAGAAGAACGAATGAGGGAGCCTGTGTTTTCGTTCCGGAACTTGTTTCGCCTGATCTGACCAGGGATATATAATTCATCATATGCGTTCTGGCGACGAATTAAAATGCGGGAAACACTGAACCCTAAAACCCAAAATCCAACACCCAGGCAGCTGACGATGGTATAAGACCTACTCCTGAAGTACAGGACGTTGAGCTCTCTGAGAACCCGAATGAAAAAAACATCAAGGACTCGGTATTCGCAACTGGGTTCTATTTAGGCATCTAAGCCGGGTAACCTCATTTAGGGTACTTAGAACTTTACTTGGCCCTAAACCCTAAACCCTAAACCTACCAGCTCAGTTCGCTCATTCTTCAAGGTGCCCCTGCTCCAAACCTGGCAAGCCACGTAAAACCTTAGCCCTACTTGGAGGATCATGTGACTTGGTAAGTAGGGATATAAATGAGGTACCTCTACTTATAACCCCAATTAGGGGACTTATAACCTTACTTACTAAGTCCCCTCATCCTCCAAGTAGGCAACATCATACCACGTCCCCCCTCCCTCTTTACAGGCCTTCGCAGGACGCCTTGAAAGGGAAACCTTCTACTAAACATTCCATACCAGTTCCCTAAACCCAAAACCCCCTGAGCCCAAAACCCTAAACTCCTGAACCCCAAAACCCTAAACTCCTGAACCCCAAACCCCTGAACCCCTAACCCCAAAACCCAAGCCCCTAAACCCCCAAACACCTCAACAAAAACACCCAAAAGCCCCTGAAGCCCCGATGCTGCAAGTGGGCTCCTGGGAGGAGTGCAGGTCCAAGTCCAGCTGGGCCTTGGGGGCATCGGCTCAGGGTTCCAGGGGGTCAGGGGGGCTTTAGGGTTCGGTTTAAGGGTTTAGGGTTTAGGGTTCGGTTTAAGGGTTTAGGGTTTCAGGGGGTTTTGGGGTTGGGGGGTTAGGGGTTTAGGGGCTTGGGTTTAGCATTACCTTAAGGACCCTAAACTATGGGAATTATGGTATAACCCAGAGACTCCAATATCCCTTAATTAAGGAATATACCTTAAATCATATTGGGGGTCAATATTGGGGGTCAACAATATGATTTAAGGTATATTCCTTAATTAAGGGATATTGGAGTTTCTGGGGAGGGTGTAGGGCAGTGCTAGGGTTTAGGGGTTTCGGGTCTTTAGGGGTCTAGGGGGTTTAGGGGGTTTCGTGTTTAGGGGTTTAGGGTTCAGGGTTTTCGGGTTTGGGTTTAGAGGTAGGGTTTAGGACGTGGGGTTCAGCGCAGTTTGGGGTTTTGGGTTTGCCACGGAACCGAGCTTAAGCGACAACATCTTGTCACAAGACTATGGCGATGAGCTGTGCAAGCCTATAGAAGTTTCTTTTCTTTCTCGTACAAGGCGGCCAAACCTGGCCACAGTCGTTCCTTCTCGGGTTTCGGCAGGGCAGGGCAGGCCCAGGAAAGGTTCCGTAATGTAGGGGCCGTAATAACTAGAACAGGGTCTTGGGGCCCATTATACTATATACTTACAGTAAGGAACCCCCCAAATAGTATTGGTAATTATTTAGGCCCTAATAGTAATGGGAGGTGTCGGGGAGAATGTGTTCCGGGATGGGGTGGAGAGGCGGGCTGCCGTCGCCCCACAGCAGGGCGTTTGGCGAGAAACTTCCGGGTGGAGCGGTTCAAGGGTCCCATCCAGGGTTCTAGTATGCTATATTTACTTCTGACTCCGATTAAGTACTTTTAACCTCGCTTACTTAGTGCCGTGAGCCTCCAAAGACCCTAAACCCCAAGCCCTTATAGCACCCCTTATAGATTTCTTAAAGAGGCCCTTAAACCCTAAGTATCACAAGCCCAGGTCCGGCGGGACTTCTCCCAATGGTGGTGGGGTCGAAGCTTCAGTCCGCCGTGGGGGTTTAGGGGTCTGCTTGGAGGATCATGGGACTTAGTAAGTAAGGTTATAAGTCCCCTAATTGGGGTTATAAGTATAGTTGCCTTAGTTATAACACTACTTACTAAGTCCCATCATGATCCTCCAAGTAGAGGTCGCTGCAAGCCCTGAGTTTCGGAGATGCTTCGGGTCTAGGGGTTCAGTGGTTTAGGGTTTGGGTTCAGGGTTCAGGGTTCAGGGTTCAGGGTTTAGAGTTTATTAGGGTTTAGGAACTCAAGGAAAAGCACTGTTCTTCTTCAGTTCTTGCTGTCCAGCTTCCAAACCCCAAAACCCCCCAAGCCCTGCGACATACTATGCAAAGGGCTCTTTAAAGCCGCTCTAACGGTGTAAAACTCTGAGAAGCGTCTAAGCCAGGGCATGATCTTATCCTAAGCCCTCTAGTTCCCCTAAAGGACTCTTTACGTAAAAAAGAGCACTACTTGTAGAAGCCTTAAGAACTAGAATAGGGCTTTAGGGTATATTATACTATAGTCATAATACGGAGCCAGCAAATAGTATCAAATCAGAGTTAGAATAAGGAGCCCGAAAATAGTACTAGAATTATAATAAGGAGCCCCCAACACAGT